GGTGTGATGATTGATATTGAATGACTGATTAATTGAAATTGAACGTAGAAATGTATGTAGTAAATTGTAGAATGTGGAAGAGAGTGAGAATTGTTGGGTGTGAAAAAAAAATTGAAAATGGATTGAGATATTTATAGAGTAAAAAAAAGAAGGAAAAAAGAAAAAATAAAGTGGCCAAAACGGCCACTTTTGTAAGTTCAGTGACCGTTTTGGTCAGTGTAATGGGGGTAGGCTCGTGAGCTTGGCTCACTAGTCGCTCCAACGGGAGTGAGCCGACTCGCTCTGCTCGAATTAGGGCTCGAACTCATCCATGTTACAAGCCTCTTGCACTTGGGGGAGCTGGCTTGTTCGGCTCGTGTTAGGGCTAGGACTCGTCGAGACAAGCTGCGTTCGACATCTCTATATGCACCTTCCATGCTAGTGAAGACAAGAAAATGATTTACCCGCCCAAAATTAATCCATTGATTAGAACATGAATGATGGCTTCTGATTATTACAAGACACTGGCTGGAGCACGTGGCAGTAGTCTTCTCAGACGGAGATTTAGGTGGGTCCCAAATCCTAGGTGAAGCTTAGGTTGAAATACCCAAAGTTTAGGAGGCACAGTGTAAAGTTGTTAATCAATTAATATTTAATATATGGACCCAAATCATTGTGGTGTTGAAAATTAGACAAAAAAAATAAAGTTAGAATTTGTTGAATGACAATACACAGCCGTTATTTTGGAAGAGTGTATGTTTCGAAGTTTGTACCAATTTTGCATCGTAAATGTCACAAATTATTTGTACGTCATTCCCCTTCCCAACGTGCTTTACTAACTATTTCTTACAGACCGTAGACTACCAATTATGAATTATTCTAGACGACCCGCATGGATGACCGCGGGGATGACCGTGCCCTCACAATCGAGACGAGGGTCCCACCCGAATAAAATAATCCCGACCTCCCATGTGTGTGTGTGCGGCCACCGGCGCGATCATCCCCACGATTCCTGTAGCATGGCTCACCAATTATTCCTTGTGTCATGCCGCTCGTACAATTAATTTGATCACTAATTTGACATGTGAATTGGCAAACATCTTGTTTGGATTTTTTTTTTTCATTTTAATTACACATTTTATGAAATTCGTAATATTTTATCAATTTTTATCAAAATTTATTAAAAAATTAATTTTTAATCTATATATATGGTCAAATTTGAAGAGAATGAATAATTTGACCTCCTATGAATGAAACCGAATAGTTAATCATTCTGAAATATTAATAGTATCTCCCGAACGCGTCACTATTAATTAAGTTCTTTTTTTTTTTTTAACTAAAAATAATATTTTTAATAAATTTTGATAAAAGTTGATGAAATATACTACTGAAAACTGTGAATATATGTAGTTAAAATTAATTATTAATTTTGACTTAAATTTTTATTAATTAAACCACACTGGGACCACAACAAAACTGCCCTTATTTGATATTCATTTTTTTTCTTTTTATTCATTTCAACCAGATATTCTATCAATAAAATAATATTACAGATAAATCCAAAAATTTTCCTTACTTTTTAACCACACATTCTTCCATCAATTATTATTCAAAATCAAATTCTTTTCCAAATTGGGTATCAAACAAGGGTATATCTCTTGTAGTAAACCCGTTTGATCATTATTTTTTTAAACTCATTTTCAACTATACATTTCACGTTATCCACAATTTTTATTAACTTTCAATCATATATTTCACCAAATTTTATAAAAATTTAATTTATATTCAAACCAAACAAGGGCAAAATAGATAGAGCGTTGCCTAATGTAATTAGGGAACTTCTTTCTTCTATTAGTATTCTTAGCTTTATCAAAACTTTCCTTCGTCCTTGTTCCAATTTGATATGGGTGTCATGAGCTGGACTAGAACTAGAGCCCCAGGAGTGACCTTAAAGGCCCCTAAGAAGCCTATATATAAAAACTAAATAAAAAAAAAATCAATTCAAATTTGCGTCACCCCTCATAAAGGACCTTCAGTGATCGCGTAAACACAGTCTCATGCAGTTTTTATCTAAAGAAAATGAAAAACATTAGGGTTGGGTTCTTAATTTTTAAATTAATGGAATTTTTGTTCTCAACCTTCAAAAGTGATATAATCCTGGGTCGTCAACTTATATTTACGAATCTAGGTCCCCACGAGACAGAAATTGTAATCAGGACTTAAAATTGCACGCGGCTTAAAGTTGAAGGGTAAAATTGTCAAAGATTCAGCATGAGGACCCATATTCACAGATTTAACTTGACTTTCACATGTGATTTTAATGCTTATATTGATATTTTTGTCACTTTGGGACCCATATTTACAAATTTACAATAGAGAACTCGTAATTTCAATTTTGAATGTTTAGAAGCCAAAATCGCAGTAGTTAAAGGTTAGAAAGCCTACTCTAATTTTTCCAAAGAACATATGATATAACACCTATCAATTTACACCTTCAGATGTACCTACTTAAATACAAATTTTAAAGAGATATTCTCTATTGTAATTCTTCTCATGATTTTTTCTTTTCTTTAATTTTTTTTTTCCTTACAAAAGGGAAAATTTCAAAGAAGGGTTTACAAGAAGAATAGAGTCATGTTCACTGACCGCAACAGTCAGAGTGCATAGGGTACAATTATTGCGTTGCATACAAAAATCCAGAACAAATATTTCCTATATGCATATCAGCAAATTGAGCCATCTAACTGACAAGTGGGCCAATGATGTGGACGAGACCTATCCAGTATAATATGTGATCAATTCTATTGAATCTTTTCGTCCAATCATATCGTGTAAATATAATCAAAGTCAAACATTAATTTCAATTATCATTCCTCTTTATAAAAACGAATATATCGTGTTTGTAACATCGTGATTTTCAAACGATTCAATCAAGTCTTTATTGATACGTTGTGGAAACAGAAAAGGTCCCAGTCAACAAGATTTTGGGTGGATATTTTTCTTCATTTGGATTGACATATTTGCACACTTCAAGGGTTCTCATAAACCCTAATGCAAAATGAGGAGAGTGAAGCGCATGCA